ATGAACTTTACTTGTTATAGATCTAAATCTGAATCTTAACATTACTAAAGTACTTGGCCATCTTAAGTATTTAGGAAGCCTTAAATAAAAAATAAATCCACCTCATTCAGTGAAATAGAACATCCTCTTTTTCTAAGCAAAAGACTTAAATTTATTAATTTTTGTAGCTGTATTTTAAAATGAGTGTCAGCCTCTGCTAGATGACTGCATGATAAGTGTCCTGAAACTTCAGGAAAAGGCACTAAATTTTTCACAGCATTTGTGTTTCATTTTCAGTGTAATAAAAATATGGTGCCCTTTTAATAATGAATAATAGATCTCCTGGTATGATTTACATGTGTGGATTAAATGTCACGTTTGAAAAGTTGCTGTTTTATTCATACTGAATTTCCCTCAAGTAAAACAAAATGGTACCCAGCTACTGTTACAATATTGCTAGTACCTTGCCACACTGATACATAAATATTAACCAGCTGATATACTCCTTAAAATCTACAGATATGTGAATTGTTCTGTCACCAACTCAGGTTCAATATGCATATGGACTGATTTAGTGCCATCTCCAGTTCCAGGTACATTGGGGAAAATGTGTCACTCCTGTGATGACATACTCCTGGAGCTCACATTCTTTTTGCCAAAGTACCGATTTTGAGAGGCTGGCACAGAAGAAGGGCAGCTGCCAAATGGGTGCAGTGAGACTGTGGTCAAAAGGCAGCTTGAGAAGCCCAACACCAATAAAATTGGCCCTGAAGCTTCACACATGTCCCTGCCTGAGCAGGAGTGTTGGACCAGATGACCTCCAGAGGTCCCTTTCCATCTCAACCGGTTTATGATTCTGTGATTCCCTTAATTAGAGCTGAACTGACATTGCAGGTGAATGAGTGGCTTAATGAATGTTTTCTAAATGTCACTTGCAGGCAACCTCATCAGCTTACAGTGTTATTCATAAATGTTGAAAATTTCCTACCTGAACTTCCCCTTCTGAACAAAACCTCACTTCCTAACAGGTAATATTTTTCTGGGAAAAGTTTCCAAGTCTGTTTATAATTTAATTTAAAAATCTGCATATACTTGAAATAGGAACATTTCTTTCAAATTCACTTTTTGTAGTAGGAGAAACTTTCAATGTATAGTTGAAATTATTTTTGTAATGATAACAAATTATAGGTGAAAACAGTTGTGTGTGTGCTTTGTTTTGTTTGTTTGTTTGTTTGTTTTAAAGAAAGTGTGCCATTTTAGCCACACTCAATTTTTATTCCATTGAAGGCAATGAATATTTTGACTCTGAAAAGTGTGGGATATCTTACTGTTATAATTATTTTGTACAGCTGTTTTAATGTTCACTGAACTAAGCTAAGTGGACTAATTTTATTTTTCTGAGCAAAATCAGATTTTCATGCACCACAACTTCTTGTTTCTGCTCTTAAAGTCATAATTAAGCTGAAAAATGTAATAATCTAGACTTGCTAACACTGCACCAGTGATGTGACATGGATCCTTCGGAGTAATAAGGCATTGCTGTAAATACACTAAGCAAAAAATGTTCACTGAATATCTAGGACTTAACTATAGTAGGATTTTGGCCACTATGAGACACTGGTAAGGAAATTATACTAGTAAAATCTTTGGACTGGTGTAAAGATGATGCAGTTACAACTTTGCAGGCACTGTCAAGGAAAATCTAATTTCAATAACTGCCTTACCAGATGCAAAGTAAGCATTTCTGCTTTCTGCTTTCCTATCCTCTTCTTACTCAACTTTGAATGCAAACTTGGCAAAAATCTGTCAGTGCATATTGAAAGTTTAAGAACAAAGGTTCTTTACCTCTAGTTTTAACCTACTGCATTTTTTTGTTTGTTTCAGATTGAGTTTGACTTCAATTTGTGTTAGAAGGTGAGTGAAGCTTCAGATTAGCTCCTGCTTCATGTAAACCAGACATCATTAACTCACAGAAAGCCTACAGTCCCTTTGCATAAATTAAATGTGTGAAAATGTCCTTGAAATGCAGGGTCTAAAACAAGTCTCCTTCAGATCATGCTGTTAGGTGCTGTTCCTAAAATGGTAGAGTCATTTGAAACAGCAGTTACTTTTTATCCCTATCCAAAGCATCCATGTATGTTTTGTCCAGTATAATTTGTGTGACCATCTGGCCTTACTGAAAACCAAATAAAATTCAACTGGAACTATTAGGAGCCACTGTCTAGTATGTAGTCAGAGGTTGTTGGGGGAGGTAGGTTGACAAACTAGAAAGGAGGACAGTGAAGGAGGGGAAGGAAGGGGAGCTGGCAAGCTGGAGCAAAGAACATTGATTAATGAACAAAAAACATTTCTGAAAGGTCAGGTGCGCAAGTCAGACTAGCCCTGAGGCAGATCTAACTTACATGACCAGCACTTTCTGTACGCAGCAGGTAACCCATGCTGACACCAACTTTGCCGACATGACAAGGTTATTATTTTTGGAAGGATGTAGTGTTCTGGAACAATTTCTCTAATGTATTAGTTAAAACTAGGCTTTCCTTCAATATCAAGCATGCATGTCTTCCTTTTCACCATGTTTACACTAAACTCCTATCATTATTCTGGTCAATGAAAACAAAAGCTTATTCTTCATCTGTGAGCACTTGCATTTCCCCCCTGTAATATATCCCAGGGCAACAGTGCTGTATTTATGATTGTGTTTAACTCCAGATACTCATCTGCATCTCACCAATAAGACCTCACTGCTTACACTAAGTTTTGTAGTAGACACGAATCATCTGAAGCATGAAATTTTCCCCATCTCAGCACAGATCTTAGGGGTTTCTTTTGAAACACACCTTAAGATTTTGTGGCAATTCCAAGGTGGAAGAACAGAAAAGTAGAAATGTTCAGGATACAACATGTATGTATTTAGAATAAGCTGATGAAGGAGGCTTTCTAAAATTATGACAGATTTTCCTATCCATTATACAGTAATGAAGACAGGGAATCAACAGGGGTTCATTTAGTCCAACTGCTCCTCCTGGTCCTGAATTTTAATTAGACTTCCCTGAGACCTGCACACTGGTTAACTAGACTAAAATTAAGTTTGGTGAAGATGTCCTCTGTGAGATTCAAAGGGTACTTTATATCAAACTCCACAACAATGGTAGAACTACCAAACATTTCTCTCAGACCTTTGAATGAGGCAAAATTAGCCATCTCTAAGTAGTTTTTGAGGCATCTGCACAACTCAGCAGAGATTCATAGAAAGACAAGTATTCAGACTTTGCACATACTCCTCAACAAGTCCTACGAGGAGCAGCTGAGAGAGCTGGGCTTGTTGAGGCCTGGAGAAAAGGAGGCTCAGCTCTTTATAAATACATTAAAGGAGGCTGTAGTGAGGCGGGGGTTGGTCTGTTCTCCCACATGCCTGGTGACAGGACGAGGGGGGATGGGCTAAAGTTATGCCAGGGGTGTTTTAGGTTGGATATTAGGAAGAACTTCTTTACTGAGAGGGTTGTTAGGCATTGGAATGAGCTGCCCAGGGAAGTGGTGGAGTCACCATCCTGGAGGTCTTTAAAAGACGTTTAGATGTTGAACTTAGCAATATGGTTTAGTGGAGGACTTGTTAGTGTTAGGTCAGAGGTTGGACTCGATGATCTTGAGGTCTCTTCCAACACAGACAGTTCTGTGATTCTGTGATTCCTTTGCATTGTGGAGGAGCTGGACAAGAGACTGGTCATTCTGAACTAGCTCTTGCTTAGTAGTGAGAACTAAGCCATGCAGTTTTGAATAGGGGACATTCCCCAGTGGGAGCAAAGCAGCAGGCGAGACCCAGGAGAAACACAATGCTGAAAGCAAGAGGTGGGGCTTGCTGGAGTCATTCAGTAGTACTGCCCTTAGTCTTCTTTCAATGAAATCTGAGAAGACAATACTTCATCCTCCCAGTTATGGAGGAATCTCAACTTGGCATCAGTGATTTCTCTGACAGTTATATGTATTTGTTTTAACATCATGTGAGAGTCACATTCACAATTTCCCTCTTTGTATGTGTGATTCTTTTCATGCCAACAGCTGTATTTATGAACAGATTGTTCATTATCTATTACAAATGATAAACAATTAATCAGCAGAAAATGTGACTTAGAGGCAATTCACATATCACAAACCCAATAGATGAAATGACCTATCCACAAGTAACTCAAAGCATCAATGTTGGACATGTAAATTTGCTTTATCTGAAAGGAATAGGGACTGTCTTTCTGTTCTGTATCTACATAATGCTTACTACAGTGGATGGGGTGAAGGAAAGAAATCTGCCGTTCAGGTTGTACTGTAAAATAAATAGTAATTGAAAACAGAAAAGCTGTCCTTCCTAATCTACCAATGCCTCATAACAGAAAAAGACACTGAGAAAAAACAGGGTTGATTCCCAAACTGTAAAGAAGCTTTTGTGTGCCAGAGAGTTTAGCTAAGACCAATGCTTCAACCAGCACTAGGCATTAGCTACAAGAGCAAGCAACTGACACACAACAATCCTGCCATGCACAGCATGCTTAGGCAGGAAAATATGTATGCCTCAGTCACAAAAGACAGAATAGAGCCTCAAGTGTTTGGGCTCCTTCCAAAATAATCCAAATGCTGCTTTTTTGGCAAATAGGGGTCAATGGAGCTAAAAACTCACAGAAGGATTTGGGCATTCATGTGTTTATATACACCCACTCGTTCATTTATTATTCTAAAGCTACTTTACTGAAATCAAATTACATAGCTGACAAGCTGCATAGATAAGAGAGAATAAAAGTAAAATTTAAAATTAGCTGACAACACTACATGATGTAGTGTATATTTGGCACTTTTAGAGTGAGTGATGAGGGTTAACCTAGGGGGGAAAAATGCACCTTCCTAAATTGCACCTTAAATTATTAAATAAATTATGAATATGATGGAATGCATTAAATATATAAGCCTGAAGGAGAATAAGCGGATGTGTTTTAACTTTCAAAGCAAAGACAGCATATTTAAGATGTGTTGCTTACTGTGTGGATACTTTGTCCGAAGTAGATCTCAGTGTTGTAGAAGTTTCCATCATGACTAACAGGCAGAGTGGTCCTGATCCAAGGCTGTTCCTTCAGTTTGGGCCACTGCAGTAAGTGACCACCTAAGCGGTTGAGAATGGAAACTTTCAGCGTATAATGGCCTTTAGGAACCTTATCTTTGACTCCCCTCAGGCATTTGATGTGAATTTCTATCGGCTGCGATGTCTTGGAGCAGTTAACCTAGGGAGAAAGCTCTGAGTTACTGACCTGGGTTGAGCTGACTTTAACCATACAATTAACCAGAAAAAATTTCATCGCGAAAATAGTTACCAAGAAGCATATTTCTTGTTCAGGCTGCAATTACCTATTGCTAACTGAGGATCTGCAATTAGGGAGGTCAAAAGTCGTAGATATAACAGATAAAAAAATAATAGAAATACTGCTAATAAAATCCTTCAGTTCAGTCCTTGAGGGGAAGGTGGAGCTGTTGAAGTATGACACCAGAAACCATTAGTCTGCAATAGTAAGGCAGAATTCACTGGAAAGCAACACCTTCAAAAATATTTAATGCTTTGTAGGACGGGCACAATACATGACATGATGAGCAGGCTGCAGGCACAGAGAGGCAGGGCATACCATGTTTTCATACTAATTATTAGCCTTACCAAGGCTGTTAGTGCTGTGTAATATGCAGACTATCCTTTCACCTTCTGATTATCATATAATCAGATTCTCTTAAAAATAGTAATCAAAGTGCAACACGTGTTGAGTTTAATAACAACTCCCTACAGGCACCTTTATTCCAAGTCCAGACAAAGGGAAACATCTGCTCCTTGCTGTTGACAAGATGTTGTCTGAGTTACAGAATGCTTAGTATGGTATAAATGCTGTGTTGCATATCTGAAATGTCTTTTTGGTGCTTTTCTAGTATGCTCAGCTTGTAGTGTGGAGGTTGGCAGAGGAAAACAGGTATAGTGGTATGATCCTTGCAAGTCTCATCTGTGTAATAGTATAGGGTCCATCCCACTATATCAGCATACATATCAGTCTTTCTGGTATGTATTCACAAATACTTTCTGAAATACTTTTTTAAAGTATTCCCAAATACTTTCTGCAAGATCATGCATATAACAGGGAGTCCCAGTTTAGCTCCAGTGTTAACTTCAATGACTAAAATGACTTCTCCAATAACTAATTATTTAGTGCTTCAAATCAGCAGTGATTGTTTTCCCCCGATGAGGAACCAATTTCTTCCACTATTTTGAGAAAATTCTAGTGCAAGAGTAGTCTTCTTCTAGCATAATGTAACATAAGAATCCGTGTCACACTTCAAAATCAAATGGCTACATTGACTAGTAGGTTTACTAGTCTTGCAATTTGAGCATACAGTAGCTAATAATCTCTTCTTTAATCCTGCCTTGGATTTATTTTGGAATAGATAGCATATTTCCATATAGATAGAAAGCTTCTGGAATTAATTTAAGCAGTTAAATAAACAGTTGAATTTGTTAAAGTTCTTTTGTTTTTCAACACAAACCATAGTTAACAACTAATCTGAATGACAATTATTTTCAGCTTAATTAGAAAATCTTAATTAACAATGAAGATTTAACCTTAATATTTTTGGTTTCTAAATCATATATAAAAAATTAACACTATGTGAATAAATAAGACAATCTTTTTAAACCTCAAGGCAGGATTACTGATGCAGGCAGACTTCGTTATTAAACACATTCTAAATTAAACGCCTCTATGAATTTTATACTGAAATATATAGTGATAGTTTTGCATGCCAAATGTGACATTTTGTATTTTAGATTCATCTTCTGTAGTAATTTTGGAAATGTCATACAAACAAAGATTTTGTCATTTACCAATGGAATTACTATGCATGGCCGGTTAGCCATCTCTTTTCTGGCTCTTCTGGTTGTTTCAAGTCAGCAAGCCATAAAAAATCTTTATCTCTCTGAAACACAGCAATTTGGAAGATAATCGAATAGTGACTGGGGGGCAGAAACGCCAGTCTGAGGAATTATACCACAATCTCTCTTGCATTTACAACCTTCCTGAAAGCGAGTGTCAGTTGAGTAGGAAAAGGAGATAGAAGATTCATCATATTTCAAGCCTGTCTCATTTGCATGGTGGCATAACTTTCTCATCTCCTGCTGAAAGACTTTGCTTGGCCAGCACTGACAAACTGTTTTGAAGAACTCTTGTCATGCCCAAATGATTCACCATTAATAGCTTTAGATGTTCTCTTTAAGTGTATGGTTACTACTGTTGTAAAGAATATTTTCAAACCTGCTAAATTCTATCCTCTTAAACCATGAAAGGAAATAAAATATAGGATAATGCAATAAAATTGATCTAGTCTTTTAGCAAAAAGAGCACTTGTGGAGAACGTTACCTTCCCACAAAATCTTGCTGCTCCATTTAATCCAGTTTTCATGCCTGCAAGGTTACCAAAGCTGGTTACAATTTCTTCTTCACATCCATTCACCTTTGCTGTCAATGGCTGACCTTCTGCTCTGCAATGGCTACAAAGGGAAGAGGGAAGAACTGCAAAGAAATCAACTACAGTGCAGACATGAGAAACACTTGCCATTGGAACTACATCACAGTTTGATGTTTTCCTGGAATATATCATAAACCCTGCAGAGAACACCTAGGGGAAACAACAGTGTGCAATGCAGAGAAATGGATAGGCTTCAAAAAGTAACACAGGAAAAATACAGTCACAACTCCAGTAATACAACCTTTATTTGTCAGTCTGTGCCACATGTTGAGATAAAGGAACTTTTAGGCTCAGATTCAAGATTAACAAAATTAAAGTAGGAAGTCATTGTCTCTGTTGACACTTTTAGGACCAATTGAAAGCTTTGAAACATGTTTTTGGGAATCATCAGTTCCTTAGGGACTGAGTTGCTTTTATCAATCTGAGGCTTTTTTTCAAAACAATCTTATAGCTTTAGATATAAATCTTGTATTTTTTTATAAACCTAATTTAAAGTAGTATTATATAGATAAATTGTATATGTATATATAACTACATAAATGCACACACACAGCTTTTCATCTGTATGTCAACCATTAAACTTTCATTGGCATTCATATGTTAACTTTTTGTTAAAGTAGTTTTTGGGGTAATTATATCACCATGAGGAATTTTCGCTTAAGGGAGATCCACAGACCAAAACAGAACTTTGGGAAGTGGTGTAAGTACAGAATTTTACAGGATACCCCAACACCACCTTACTTAATGCACAGGATGCACAAAATACACTGTAACGTATGGAAAAATCTCCATTTTTAGTGCTCAGCAGAATCAAATGGAGAACTAAGTCTTTTCCAATAATGCAAAATAGGTAGTCCTGTCTCCAAATTCTTGACACATGCTTACCCTTTTTTTTTTTTAAAGATTATTTTAGAAACATATATAGAGATTTGCATCAGCTAAATTGTCAATGGCACATAGGTCAATTGTTTTGCAGATTCTTCTACCAGGAAAATTGAATCATGTAAATGCACAGACAACATCTGAATTAGCTGGAAGGTCTGCATAGACATTAGTGTCAATGACATAACTGGGAATTTTGCCCAGGCCACAACTGACCAAAACTAATGACAAGAATCTGCGGTGTTAAGGACTGAACACAAGAAATGCATGGTCAACCAACCTCAAAAGTTTTATCTTTGAGCTGCATTCAGGTAAACTTGGGTCCAATTTCCCTAAATGGAGGGAGTAGAAGATGTGCCTTGAAAGTCACTAGCTAGCTCTTAGAGTTGAAACATCTGAGAAGTTAACTTTCCTCCTCAAAAATAATGGTCTGTTTGGAACTTTGTACTTATTTAGTTTCTCATGATGGAAATTATTTCAGTTAATTTGGTTAGAGCTGCATTGACACAGGGGTTCATTAGGACACCCATTTGCTTGCAATTCAATTTAAAATTAAATACACTTTGTTGTTGATTTTATTACTTTTAAACTACTGTATCTATTGCCTTTATTAGCTGCTAATACACAATTATGAAGGTAAACAGTTTTCATTATTGAACATCAAACATTTAAATAACCACAGTTGATCTCTTTTTGGGTTGCAACATTTTCCTCTTTTCTCCCCTTTTGTTGGGTATTAGATTCAAGAGAATAATTTAGTCAGTAAAATTAGGCATCTTTTGTGCTCACCAGCATGCTCATCAATTGTCACAGTAGAACAGAGCTTCCTAAGCTGTATCCATGAGAGTTATTTATTTCCTCTATTCATTTCTTTACAGGTATTTTGATACATGTCTTTATCTGATGGTCATGCATTGTTTGATCATGAAAATATTGCTCCAATTCATATTTCCTGTACTCTCTTAGGGTAACTCAGAGGCAGGGATGAAGGACACTAGGAGAGGCCATTTGGTCACCTGAAGCAGTGTGCATAGCATTTAAAAATTGCAGCCCAGGCTTGGTATCTGAAAACGGAGGTAACCAAAAAACAGAGGCCTCTTTCAGAAGCACAGGCTTAATTTTTCTAGGTCTGAGGTTCTTTGTCTGTGAGAAGTTCCATTCATTAATATCCGTAAAGCACTGAAAGGCCTTTGGAGGGAAAGCACATTAGTTGGAAGCACAAAGTAGTTCTTATCTGACATACCTTTGAAAGAGCTCATGAATCCTGGCTTGCAACTTTTGTTTGTTCTGGTGAGAGACTTCCTTGTGGTACTTTGATACCTACATGCCAAAAAAATAAAAAAGAAAAAGTAAATAAATTAAAAAAAAAAAAAAAAAAGATTGTTTCCAAAAATACAGAAAAACATGAAAATACAAGCTACAAGTGTAAAATTATCTACTGTTGTCAAGCCTTAAAGCCAAAAACATTTTGGAAGAAAGAATGCAAAAGTTCTAGACAAGAACCTGTCTGTTTTCAATGAAGGGTAGGAATCTCTCTTGAAAAATAAGGCACTGGGAAAGTTATTTGCAAAGAAATAGGGATATGGTTTAGTGGGGACTGTTAGTGTTAGGCTAGAGGTTGGACTCGATGATCTTGAGGTCTCTTCCAACCTAGAAATTCTGTGATTCTGTGATTCTGTGAATCCTTTATATTTCTAAAATCAATATTATCAGAGTATGAAAGCAGACTACAAAAAAATATATTACAAATATCTCTGTGTATAGCTTTTAACATAACTTGTTTAAATTATTTAGAAGTAAAGCAGAAACAGCATATTTGCTTTAAAACACAGTATGACTTGCCAGTTGTCTCAGCAGAGAGCCTCAGATGGATACAATAAATCCTGCAGGCTCCTGTCAGGCATTGCACGTACCTGGATTGCAAAGGTGACATGACCAAATTGGCTCACATTGAGACCTTCCAGCTCTCCACGTGGCAGTTGTATCATGGGCAATACTCCCTCCACCATTGCTTCTCTGTTAGTGGGACCTAAGCCCTCATGCTCCTGGACTGCTTTTGGCTTAAGTTCAATATAAGTCTCCAGAACAGGGACCCATGTTTTCTCCCACCCCCACAAATACTGTCACTGACTTTCTTTCTCCAGCCGGGAGAATCACCACCTACACCGCTTCCCCAGGAAGGTCTGGGAGCTGGCTCCTGCCCCATCTCTTGCTCCAGCAAAGCTGGGAGCTTTCTGTTAGGGCAACTGAGTCCCACAGTCTGGCAGGGTGTGCAGCCACAGAGGAACACACCAAGAAAAAGTGTAGCTTGGTCTTCCCTGGCTGTCCCACAGAGAAGTGCTCTTGCCAGTGTAGCAGAGACATCCCAGTGACAGCAAGGACCAAACAGAAACATTTATAGTTCCCAAAAGGCATGGGCACCAGGCTGTCATGCCTAGGACATTTCACTGTGCCAAGCAACAGTGTTAAATGTTCTCAAGAAAGTTTAGTGACAAAAGCTGCAGACCAGAGTTTGGTAGCAAATGGAAAGAGGTCTTGGACAGAGGCAGGTAAAGCTAAAGTTAGGAAGGCAAGAGGAAGGCTTAGTTCATGATTTATCTGCTGGATCCAGCTCTTAGTGACACCTGGAATAGCCGTGTTTATAAGGTGGGCATCTGGGTTAAGAAGTAAGATAACACAGAAAACTTTTTTCACTTAAAATATCAAGTAGCTGTAAGATTACAACCTTCAGACATTGCCAGTCTAGGCTTACATAAAAAAAAATAATAATAATAATAATTATATTACCAGTCTCCCATAGCTATCCAATCCCCTTGTTTATCTTTCTAATCTTAATTAAATAATGAATATTCAAAAGAAAATATGAATTGGGATTCTCTATATGAACTGCACTGTTTTCCATCTCTCAGTCTCTGAAGTGGCAATGGGAATATGAGTTAAAGCTATTTCTACTGGATCCTAGTAAAATATTTGTCACAGTGTGTCATGATAATTTTTTAAAAGCTCTATCATCTACCTAATAAATTTGTTAAGTTTATTCAAATCTTATTGAACAGGAAAAGTGCAATGAGTCATGGTTAATATTTCTTTACCTACACTAAGAAATATATCAAAAATTCAATGCTTAGGGTCCTATTCAGAAAACCTCTATGAGTCTGTAATACATCTTCTACATGATTAAAAAAAAAAAAAAGCAGGAAACTCGCTTTAAAATGAATTATTCACCACCTTGAATAAATTTCCATCTTTCTTATTTGCAAAACCCCAAAGTCAGTTATGTAAATTTTAACCTACACTAATTACCTCAGGGGTGTGCAAGTAAAGGAAAGTAGATGCAGTAGGAGAAAAAAAAAAAAAAAATCCTAGACATTTCCATCACCAGGAAGCAATTTAATAAAGGAAAAAATGTGTAAGTTTTCAAAACCAGTGCAGTTGTTTTTTTTTTCTTTCTTTCTTTTTTTTTTTTTTAATGTGGAATAATCATTGCAGCAATATTCTTTGAATCAGAGATTTACTGGAATAAATCCAAGTGCTTTTACTCAATAGCATATACCATTGCACACATAACTAAACACCCATTTCTCATCATGACACCAGCATGTCTAGACCATAAAAATGACCCATTGTTGACAATGGGTGTTCCCAAAAAGAAGGCATGTAATGTGGTTTCTCTTCATGTCAATAGACATAGAGGGCCCCTTCAGAAAAAGTGACTAAAATCTGGGAACCACTGGATGCCCATCAGAGCTCACATGGGATGTACTGGAGAATTAGGGCCTTTTGCCTGAAGACAGAAGGGCTCAGTCCTGGCACTGCTTGGTCCTATTTCCCATCCTGATACCAAGGCAGCGATTTAGCTGTGGAGCTCCCTTCTTCACAAGTCTTTCTTAGTTTCTTCATCAGCTACCTTGAGGTGTAATTATACAAATGGCCCATCTATTGATTTCAGAATGCATGATCAAGACCAATATTTGAACGAGGTCTTTCAGTTTGGGATCAGCCTACAGAAGCACAATGTTAAATATTGTTTCTACAGCAGAGGCAAAACCAAGAACCTGACCTGGTGCTATTAATCAGTGCCAACTATTTTCATTGTGAAACTACTTCACAAATGGTAGATTTTGATTCCTCTAGCAATTTTCAATTTGGAAAAATGTAAACAAAACACATCCTTTCCACTTAGGACAAAGCCCACAAAATTCAGCAAAGTTTCTAAGCAAAATGGAATTGCTTTTCTATCATTTAATGAAGTCCTGCAGTAAAAATATTTACCCTTTCCTTATTTTTTGGCCAGCCCTAGTACTGATATTACAAACTTCTACTAAACTATTCACCCCACTGTGATTTGAAATTTTAAGTTGAGCTTCAGCCCTAATGAAATAGCACTTCTTGTGAGTAATGCTGTGAGGGTCCACCTTCCTGCAGGTTCTCCCTGCTAGATAGGGGCACAGCAGTGGGAGCGTGGAGACGCCACCAGCAGGGACTGCAGTAGCCCTTCACATGTAGGGAACTACACATAGAGATGCATCCCAGCATCCCTTCTTTTTTCACCTTGAGAAACCACTTATGAGTACATTACAGTGCAGGTGGAAACACGCACAAAAGGCTGCATTTCCAGCCATAAACAAACACCCTAATATAAGCTTTTACCTAGGATTTCCACCCACTCATCCCAAATCATTTTGCCATAACATCCTGTCCACCCCATTTTTACATTTGGGAGGAGTGAAGTGCAAATGACTTGCCTGAGCTCACCTAGCAAAGATTCAGCAGGGATAGAAACAAAACCCATGTCTCTAGTCTCACTGGTGCTAGCCAGCCCTCCTCCTCCACACTATGTCTGCTGCATGGAGGTTCAATCCCAGTGACTTTCAAGATCTAGTGCAATGTATAGCAAAAAAAAAAAAAAAAAAAAAAAAAGGGATCAAGAAAAAAAAATGTTGCAAGATATGTTCACTTTTCTTTACACCAAAGTGTAAAGAAAAGATTTTGACAGTCCCATCCCAGTCCCATCCCCTCCATGTTAACTGCAGAGAGATCACAGGGAAATTAGGCATTAAGAGGTAGGCAGGATAACTGCCATTCATGGAAAGCAAAGAGAGTTTAGTAGCTGGACTGAAAGCTTTGAAAGCTGCACTACTCTTACTTGTCTTTGTTTACTGAAATTTGATTGATCTTGGCCTGGAGATGGCTAAAAACCAGGGTTAAAGTTGTGTCAAAATTCATGGTGTCCTCTGTCAAAAACATGTCACAAACTTTCAAACATGTTTTTAGAAGGAAGAGAGAAAAAGCAACTCCTCTGCCATGGCTTTCCTTCCAATGAGAAAATTAAACTAATTTGCTCTTCATGATCAATACAGGTTGTTCTCTGGATACCCAGTACCCTGAGCTGGTGGAAGGGGATGGGGAGCAGGATGTGGCCCTCACTATCCACGAAGAACTGGTTGGTGACCTGCTACGGCACTTGGATGTGCACAAATCGATGGGGCCGGATGGGATCCACCCAAGGGTGCTGAGAGAACTGGCAGAGGAGCTGGCCAAGCCCCTATCCATCATTTATCAGCAGTCCTGGCTATCGGGGGAGGTCCCAGTTGACTGGCGGCTAGCGAATGTGACGCCCATCTACAAGAAGGGCCAGAGGATAGACCCGGGAAACTACAGGCCTGTCAGTTTGACCTCAGTACCAGGGAAGCTCATGGAGCAGATCCTCTTGAGAGTCATCATGCGGCACTTGCAGGGCAAGCAGGCGATCAGGCCCAGTCAGCATGGGTTTATGGAAGGCAGATCCTGCTTGATGAACCTGATCTCCTTCTATGACAAAGTGACGCGCTGGGTGGACGAGGGAAAGGCTGTGGATGTGGTCTACCTTGACTTCAGCAAGGCTTTTGACACCGTCTCCCACAGCATTCTCCTCAAGAAACTGGCTGCTCTTGACTTGGACTGGCGCACGCTTCATTGGGTTAGAAACTGGCTGGATAGCCGGGCCCAAAGAGTTGTGGTAAATGGAGTCAAGTCCAGTTGGAGGCCAGTCACTAGTGGCGTCCCCCAGGGCTTGGTGCTGGGGCCGGTCCTCTTTAATATCTTCATCAATGATCTGGACGAGGGCATTGAGTGCACCCTCAGTAAGCTCTGCAGGAGGATCTGGATAGGCTGCACCGATGGGCTGAGGTCAACTGCATGAAGTTCAACAAGGCCAAGTGCCGGGTCCTGCACCTGGGGCGCAATAACCCCAAGCAGAGCTACAGGCTGGGAGATGAGTGGTTGGAGAGCTGCCAGGCAGAGAAGGACCTGGGAGTGATGGTGGACAGTCAGCTGAATATGAGCCAGCAGTGTGGTCAGGTGGCCAAGAAGGCCAACGGCATCCTGGCTTGTATCACAACCAGTGTGACCAGCAGGGCTAGGGAGGTGATCGTCCCCCTGTACTCGGCTCTGGTGAGGCCGCACCTCGAGTACTGTGTTCAGTTTTGGGCCCCTCGCTACAAGAAGGACATCGAGGTGCTTGAGCGGGTCCAGAGAAGGGCGACGAAGCTGGTGAGGGGCCTGGAGAACAAGTCCTACGAGGAGCGGCTGAAGGAGCTGGGCTTGTTCAGCCTGGAGAAGAGGAGGCTCAGGGGCAACCTTATTGCTCTCTACAGGTACCTTAAAGGAGGCTGTAGTGAGGTGGGGGTTGGCCTGTTCTCCCACGTGCCTGGTGACAGGACGAGGGGGAATGGGCTTAAGTTGCGCCAGGGGAGTTTTAGGTTAGATGTTAGGAAGAACTTATTTACTGAAAGGGTTGTTAGGCACTGGAACAGGCTGCCCAGGGAAGTGGTGGAGTCACCATCCCTGGAAGTCTTTAAAAGACGTTTAGATGAAGAGCTTAGGGATATGGTTTAGTGGGGACTGTTAGCGTTAGGTCAGAGGTTGGACTCGATGATCTTGAGGTCTCTTCCAACCTAGAAATTCTGTGATTATGTGATTCTGTGATCATAAAGTTAAAAACAAACAACTGAGCCATTTGTAATGGCTA